TTAGTAGTCTATCGACTCTCTCCTTTTAACGAGCTCTAACTAAGAACTTAAGCTTAGTACCTATACTAAGTAAGATTCTAGGATTAGCGAACCGATCCTAATATATAGTCGTCGATAAGTTAGGCCTAAGATAGGCCTCTTTAAAAGCGAGCGACGACGTCGCTATAATACTACTCTATATTATCGGAAGGACTTAGAGAGGCGAAGGAGTACCTAATCTAGCGAGAACATACAAAATAAAGCGCAAAAACGTATTAGTAAGAGCTCGATAGTCTTATTAGTTCAAAGTACCTTGCGTTTAGCTCGCTACGGAGGGTGGCTCGTAACGTCGGGATAGACGTTATCTAGAAAGACTCTCCAATATAGATAAAATCCGCCTCTAGATACAAGTCGTGATTCAAGTCGTTCTGCTAACACGTTCATAAGCGTCTTGGGGACGTCAGAGTCCCTTATATCTGGTCACCTCGACGAAGCCCCGTCTCTGCGTGATGGTCTTTCTCTGCCGTTTGGTCGTCTTTCGCCCACTCCGGGCATACGCGGCGGTACACTGCAGTGCCTTCCGGAGCCCTGGGTCAAGAAGCTCTTCGGGGGAGAGTGTTCGTAGACTTTCGTTCAACTCACGTATCTGGCGTGAGACCAAGTCGACTTTAGTGTTGAGCGGCATTTCAAAGTCGAGGCAACCGTCAGTGGGCGTGGTGGCAACGAGTGAAATGAAGCAGGACAAAGGAAGCAGGACAAACCCCACGTTTCGCGCTGTGCGCACAGCGCGAAACGTGGGGGAAAAAGCGGGTGATTTCTGCCACCAGCCCCTCTGGACCCATCTGAACTGTGGCGCGCCTGAAGGATGCACACCCCGGTCGCTATCTCTCGGCGTGCGGTACAGAGATTGTTGACGAGTGACGGTTGGTCTGTTCCATCAATCTGTTAACGATCAGCTGATGCAAGTTGGGTAGCGAAAGGACTATACCAAGGAGGATGGTTCGAAATTTGGCAATAGAGAGAATGCGTGCCGTTGACGATTTCAAACTCTTCTATGGCCCAACCTCAAAGTTCATCCGAATCCCCATAGCAGCCAGCTCCACATCAAGATACTTCAACACCCCCGGCACAGCAACAACCGTAACCTCATCACCACCAAACCACTTTCCGCCCTTCCGATCCTCCCAACACTCGCTCTTCGGATCAGAAGGCAGAGCCTTGCGACTACACCTCCGACACCTCACACGTCCACCCTCTCTCCGCCGACTGTACTGGCCGGAGCTGGGCTGCGTGGACAAGAAACTGCCGCATTTCTTGCAGATGTTGGCTTTGGTGTAGTCGCTGCAGTTCATCAGGCGGTCCTGGAGGAGATAAGCGGTGCCGTGGGCGAGGAGGGCGTCGCGTTCCATTTCTCCGACTCGGATACCACCGCCTTTGGCTCTGCCTTTGATCGGTTGGCCTGTGAGGGGGGTGACGGGGCCTGTTGTTCGGACTTGGTATTTGTCGTTGACCATGTGTCGGAGACGTTGGTAGTAGACGACGCCGATGTAGATGTCAGCTGCCAGCTCCTCGCCAGTGATGCCGGAGTACATGGGCTCGTTCCCGTAGTAGTTGTAGCCAGCGCGTTTGAGCTGGTGGCCAAAGTACTCCACCGCGGTCTCGCCCTCTTTGTCTTTGAACTTGAATGGAGTTGAGTCTTGGGCAAGGCCGTGCAGTGCCCCGGATTTGCCAGCCAGCGACTCGACGAACATGCCGATCGTCATTCGAGATGGGAAAGCGTGAGGGTTGATGATGACATCCGGCTGCATTCCACTCTCTGTGAACGGCATGTCGATGGTCGGCCATTTCTGTGAGCAGACACCCTTCTGTCCGTGTCGCGAAGAGAACTTGTCACCGATGACTGGAGAACGAGGTAATCTGAAGCGGATGCTGACGGCTTGGCAGGGATCGTTGTTGCCAGATTCGTTGCCAATGAGCTTGATCTCTTCCACGAAGGCCTCTTCAGAGTCCTTGTATCTGTGGATGTGAGTGACTCCATCCTTGTTGACGTACTCGTCGGTCAGAGGATCCTTGACGACAGAGTACGATGCAGCGATTGCATCTCCCTCTCTGATTTTGATGCCCACCCGTGGCAGTCCATCGTCGTCCAAGCTCTCTCGCCATTGCGCCTTGATTATGCTCTCTGGTGCGAAGCCGAACATTGTCGTCACGGCTGATCGATTGCGCCCTGTCTTGTTCTCTTCTGCAAGGTCTATTTTCTTGGCTTTGTAGATCGTTCCGTGTCCAAACCCTCTCTCGTGAGCTGACTTGTTCAGAATCATGGCATCGTCCATGTCGTAGCCAGTGTATGAGATGACAGCGACCACAGCATTCGTTCCATTGGGGAAATTGTCAAGGCCATACTCGTTATGTTTCGGTGTCCTCACAACTGGCGTTTGGCCAGTTTGTAGTCGGTATGTCTTGTTATCGGTTCTGTATTTGAGTGCTGTTCCAGGGGTACCCATCGTTTGCTTGCCCATCTGACATTGGTACCTGGCGAAAAGTTAGCTTGTTCACAGCGATCTCGACGTCGACCTATGTGATAGGACTTACATGTTTCTTGGCGACTGGTTGAAGTTGGAGAACGGGGTCTGATTCGCGACAATCGAAAGAATGTTGGTGACATCGTACTCGACGTGCGTGGAATCTCCAGATGCAACTTCAGGCTCGGTACAGGCGATGGACATGAAAGGCTGCTCAAAAGGACCAACCATGTCCTGCTTCTCCAGAGGAAGATACTTCACAGGTCGAATCATCCTTGCAGCTTCAGAGAACATGTAGACACCAGGATATTGGCCACCATTTGATAGGGGAATATAGCCAATCTCAAGGTCGAGCGGGACGTTGTGAGTGCCCTCAACCTTCCAGTACCGAAGAGTGTCGCCAATGGTCTTCGCTTGCTTTGGCGAACAGAAGCCCAGTATTCGGCCATCAAGCTGCACTACCACACTGTCGTTGATGGTCGCTTCGGAAGTGCTCGTCACGCCAAGCTGGGACACAAGCGCAGGTACGCTGGAAGAGTCTGAATTCGAGGTCGAAATCTTACACTTATGTGCGAGATGGTTCAGCAGACCGCATGGCGATCCGTCTGGAGTGTGGACAGGGCATAAGAATCCCCAACTTTCTGGTAACAGCTTTCGAACCGTCGTCGTCTTCAGCTGCGCGAAGAAGCTTCCTCTGTGGACCATGCGGAAATGACTGATGAATCGGTAGAAGTTGATCTTTTCTGCCACAACCGTGAAACCCGACACTTGCTGCAGATCGAGACCAGTTGGGCTGACGAGATTGCCTGTCGAAAGAAAGTAGTCTACTTTCTGGCCAAGGTTCTCGTTCGTTTTTCTTATCACCTTCGGCATGAAGTCCTTTTCGAATTGCGGGCTTGTGAAGGAGGGCCACTGATTATTTCGTCCCCATTCCCGTAAACTCAGGCCTATCGATCCCAGCCATTCGTCGACCTGCTCTTTGAGAAGCATTCCGTACAAGAACCCAGGAAGTAGGATCTCCTGATTTTGCACTGCATCGGGATTGTCGACTGTGCACTCGCCCTCGGTCAAGGCGTAAAGCTTTCGAATCATGAAAAGCAGCATCCTGAATTTGTCGGCATCGTTTGACTCTGTGACATCGTAGGATCCGAGGTGTGGCATCACGATTTTCCTCAAGAACTCAGTCCCAGCCTCTTCATCAGTCAAATCCTCTGGAACTCCCAGCACCACTCGAAATTTGTTCCCCAGATATGCTCTAGTCTTCGTTCGACTGTTGATATTGTAGGCCTTGTATGTTCGAAGAAGCAGCTCGACTCTGTCTGTGACGAACTGCTTGCTTTCAAGTCCCTTCCCACCTGCTGGGCCAACGATGCACTCGAAGATCTCTCGGTCGTTCGTTTCTGCCAAAGCTTTCAAGATCATCAACACCGGTACCAGGTACTCGTTCTTCCTGAATGAAAATCGAAATGTGACATTTCCATCGCTCAGGTAGTGTAGAACATTCGTCTGTGATGTCTGATCCGGCCGCACAGATCGAATGGTCACGCCGTACTTTGTGTATGATGGTCCTCGGTTCTCAAACGAAGGTCGAATGATAGCCATGGGAAAGTTTCTCCGATTGACGATCAACATCCGTATCAGCTTCTCGATACCGTTGACAATGAAGTATCCACCAAGCTCTTCCGTCTCTTCTCTTCGATTGACCAGCTCTTTCGGCGACAGTCCTTCCAGATGACATCGATTCGATCGCAACATGATGGGTAGATATCCAAAGTCGCGCACGGTCTCTTTCCACTCGCCATTGTTGATGCGATACTCCAGCCGTCCTCGAAACCTCCCTCTGTATGTTACGTGCCGCTCTCTGCACTCCACTGGCAGAATCTCCCTCTTGACAGCTTCCACCTTGTTCGTATGCGGCAATGTACTCTTATCGAGGAAGACCTGCCTCACTCTGACCTGCAGCCTATTCCTCCTCGCGCCTGGCTCTTGCCCATTGCCATCCAGAAAAGTTTTGGTGCCGATGTCTCGAAGACCGTGCTGAAGCTGTCCATTCTCGGCGAAGACGTAGTTCCAAGATTCGACGTGGGGTTTGATCGCCTCTTGGAGTAGTGGGTATGCGGATTTATTGCTGGGCGGATCCCGAAAGAGCTGCTCTCGTTTGATGGTATCGTACTGTTCAGACCATTTCGACATGGACGACTTCCTGGCGGGTGCCATGGTGGTGGTGATTCGTCCTATTTAGATCTCGCTCATGCCTCGTTTGTTACTGTACAAAATCATGCACACCAAACGCCAGCAATCCGTACAATGGGTATCACGCAGAGTCAAAAGTGTTTTCACGAAGAAACATGTGAAGCTCAGGTCAAGTCAAGAAAAAGTCGCTAGCATCGGCGAAAAGCGGGTCCGCCAAGGCCGACGCTCAATCAAGAAGAAAGAGCCGCCGGGAGAGTGGGAGCAGTGGGAAGGAGCCTGGGAGGGTTCACGTTGCATGCGAGAAAAGCCACCAGGGCCGATTCGATTCTACTCGGCGCTGCATTTTCTGATCACCTCCTACCGCGATTATTCTCATCGACAGCGACGATTTTGCTGCTGCCGCGTCTGTTCCTGCGCGAATCAAGAGTCGACGCTCGCGGCCTAAGCGCGGGGCTAGCCAAACCTCTGAACCTCTCACATTTGGATTCCAAGGTTCCCTTGACTTCACTGCAAGAGCAGACGGCTCCTTAGCTCCTTTTTTGACTTACTGGTTCACCTGGCCCGTCGCCGGCGCTCCCTCACTCCCACCGCCCCGACGTCTTGCGCTATGGCAGGCATCTTCAAGAAGATCTATGATTGGCTGCTCAGCCTCTTCTGGTATGATTCTGTTGCCCCCTCACCCATATCCAAACCCAACGCCGCCTGCCATCGCAGTTGCTGCCTGACAGCCTGACCACACCGCCTCCGTGCGGCGTCGTCGACACCCTCCGCCGCCGCCCATGATGGACTGACGCTGATGTGCTTTCTTCCCCCTCGACAGGGCCACCGAGATGGACATCACCATGATCGGCCTCCAGAACGCCGGCAAGACCTCGTTACTGAGGGTTCTGGCGGTGAGTCCGACGCCGACGATATGCGCGCCCGCCTGCGTCGTCGATGGCTGACGTTGTGGTACAGGGCGGCGAGTTCACCATCGAGTAAGTCGACTGTGCGACCGACAGGGATTTAGCCGAGATCCAGCGCGGTCGATGAGACGTGTTTCGAGTCTGATCCGGTGACACAGCTCGATACCGACCGTCGGCTTCAACATGAAGCGGGTGCAGAAGGGCCATGTCACCCTGAAGTGGTGAGTTGTCGATGTGTTGTTGCCTTCTTTCTCTCGGCGGCGACCATCAACCGTGCCGACCGATGTGTCGTCGGATCTGGTACTGACTTGATGCAGCTGGGACTTGGGAGGCCAGCCGAGGTTTCGATCGATGTGGGAGAGGTACTGCCGAGGGGTGAACGCCATTGTGTAAGCGCAGCATGTTGAATGCGACGTCGGCGTTGGGCTCATATTCGCATCGCAGCTTCATCGTGGATTCCGCCGACAAGGAGGCACTGCCCGTTGCCAAGGAGGAACTGCACATCTTGCTCGACAAGCCAGCCATGGAAGGAATACCGCTTCTCGTCCTCGGCAACAAGTCGGATCTCTCAGGCCACGCAGGTGTCGACGAGCTGATCGAGGCGCTGAATCTCAAGGCCGTCACCCATCGGGAAGTAAGCTGTTACGGCATCAGCGCGAAAGAGGAGACCAACCTGGACGCGGTGCTGCAATGGCTCATTGCACGAGCGAAGAAATGAAGGACAAAGTTCCCACGATACGACTCAACGGCCGACTCATCATCATACGAAGACCCCACGAGACCATGGCCGATGACGACGACGAAACCTAGCATGTCAGTTCGGTTGTTGCTTTTTGGCATAGACGGATAGGATCGCGGCGCGCAGCTGCACGGCCAGCAATGGCAAAATCTTCCTTTCATCATAGTGGTATTCTTTCTCCTTTGTTGTTTGGATGGCGGAGCGGCGCACAAGTTCTCTTTCTTCGCGTTCGAAATACCACTCTTGGCTGCGGCGAGGCAAGAGGTGGTTGACGAGCCGATTTATTTATCGAGAATTTTGATCATGTGACGAGGCGACGGCGACATGAGACGAGATGGAGCGTTTCGCAATAGCATCGGTATGGCACACGTCGATCCCCTCACTCATCAGAAATTCCGCCGTCTTTTCTCGCCCAGCTGCAGCTTTTGCAGTTTAGCCGGCGCGAAGCAGCTCTGTGACACGTGCATTGAGTGTCGAGAGGCATTGTTGT